CCTCTCTCTGTCTGGTCTACTGTTAATGGTTGTAAAGACAAATATGTTTGATTTGCTTTAACTTACTGTTTTGGATGCTGCAGTTTAGGTTTGTGGCATATTGAGACTGCTTCCCATCTCTCTGTTCGGTGTTCCCTGAATGAAAGTCATCAATAGACTCCAACACGAGTATTGATTTGAAAGCCTCACTGGTAACTTGGTTTAATAAGCTGTCAGGACATTTGCTTTAGTTTTGGAACTGCACCAATTCTCCTAATGGTCTTTTGTTCATTGAAATGATTGCTGTAACTCACAAAAAAAACCACCCCAAAGCCAAAAGCCCACTACCACACTGTGGAATCTCTAGGAAGATCACTGGTGTCCTCACTCAAGATCAACACTACCTTGGGGAAGGCTTATATTCTTCTGCCACTTTAAGGAAAGACTGTTCTTCTGAAGTACTTTTTGCCTGCTTTTAGGCTGTTATGCACTTTCATGATTTCTTAACAAACTACTGTTAAAATGTACTGTAACATGGATTTTGATAAGCGCACATGTAATTAAACAATTCACTCAGCCTCAGGAAAGCTGGAAAAATTGGATACCTGTTTTGTATCTTGGTTAAAATGTTTGTTACCTGCATCTCTTAAGATGGCCAGATAATGACTAGATCCTGCAAGTGTACCTATTTAAGATACCAGTATAATCTCTAAAAGAAGGACAATGTAATTTTGCTTTAGGGACAGAGAAAAGGGTGTCCTTCTCTTATTTTTCTTAGAGGTATATATATATAATCTGAATTGGAGTTTCCAAAGCAGAAAGCAGTAATAAACCCCATTTACTGTTCAGGAAAAGAAATGTTTTCTTTCATAACACTATCTGATTTCTATTTTCTTCCTTCTCCTTAAAGAGCGTGTGTGAAATAAGTGCAGAGGTATGTGTAGGAAAAACTGTAAAATCTGCTGCTGTACATGTTTGCTACTTGACTGCATTTTCTGTTCCACTTTAATTTTACTGGTTTTGCTAAATATATTTTATATATTTTTCCTTCCTGCTTCTTGTGATGGCAGAGTGATTACATCTTTTGGGGGTAAAAGCAAAAACAACCGTGACAAAGGCTTTGGGGCCAGATAATGCTATGAAGGTTGGATGTTACTGTATTTCTCAGGACATTTTTTGAGAGAACTGTGTAAATCAGAAGCCATGGTAAAATCTATGGGGATGTGAAAATGTGCAGAAGTATAGATACTGATAATTCTGTTGAAGGGTTGAGTGGGTTTTCTTTTTTCAGATACTCGTAAAGTCTGCTTAAAATGTCAATACCATTAGGTGGTATTAAGTGACTAGTGGTCACCTATGTAGAGCATTTTTCTGGCTGAAAGCTATAGCCCACTGTGGAACCTGAATCACTTCCAAGGAATGCACAAAGCCTGGCAAAATATAAAGAAGTCGCAGGGATCTTATATCACTGTCATGTTTCTAAGATTTCTATCTTAGAAACATAGAGAAAGAGTTGGGGCTCCATAAACTACTTAAAGATGAAAACTTACTTCTGTACTTGAATTCATGGAATGACTGCAAGCTTTGAAGAGGCTGACTGACAGTCTGTCCTTCCATTGTGCCATAAGGTGTTGGGAATATGTGGTGCACCTGGCCCACACAGGTACCCCACGGGGCTCCAACACACATTTGATCCATCTGTAGGGGGAACAGCTTGGGAGTGAAAGTAAACGTGCAGCGAGCTGTGCTTACAGAGAGGAGGGGTTGCAGGTTGTTTTCTAAGTAAAATATTTTCACTTTGCTGTTTTCCATCATCACAAGTAGGATTATGTTATTAATTATAAATAATCCATGTATGGTTGTAAAGCATTGCATGCTTCACTGTCTTCTTCCAAATCAATGTGCAGTTGGTTTGCCAGCTCTAAACATGTTGAGGGCGTTTTTTAGTGTGTTCTTTTTTTTTTAAGTTAATAGAAGTTTTTTAGACTTAATGGCAACAGGAAGGATTCTACAATTAGAATTTAATAATCTATTTCATATTAATTAAACCTAATTATACTTTTCCACATGGCTATGGCTTGTGCTACAGTGAGAACAAAACTAGAATTTCATTAGCAGAGAAAAAATACAGCAGAGTAAAAATAAAAACTCAAATCCTAAAACACAAATGCCTTCTGAGTAACCAGTTGCTATTGCATTCCAGGATAGAACTGTGGTTTTAAACACTGTTTTGGATCTAGCAAATGCATTAGGGAAGAGGCAGTGATGTATATCATCAGGTTTGTCTCAAGGACACTGGTATCACTGCTGTGCGACATGGGTCTGTCAGTGAAAGGACAGAGGAGATTAATTGGAAATATCTGTCTGCAAAAAATACTAGGGAACAATAAAACCCAATTACTAATAAGAATTTCTTTCAGGGTACACTTTACAGGTATTCCTGCATTTGTGATTCATTTGTCCTTGCATCCTAAGGAAATTGCAGCCAGAGATAACCTGTTTTTTCCCTTCCTACAGGGTCACTTGAGCTCCTTTGGAGCTTTGCTTCTAGAACTGTCTTGTAACAGGATTCAAGTAAGGGCTGTGTTTGCTGCCAAGTAGTATCTGATATCATAACCTAAATAATGTCACCCTGTCAGCCCACCCCCAAGCCCCCACACAGCCATGTGCCCTTATGTGATCTGTCTAACCTTTCTGGTGAGGAGGCATTGCTTGCCAAGGGGCAGTCTGCTGCTCTGGGAAGCCTGGACTGAAAGCATGTGTCATCCCAGTCTCATTTCTACTTTCATTATCAGCCCTATGCCGAATGTTTTTTATGTAAAATGCCTTACAGACATGCATGAAATAGGGAAATTACTGAAGTGTCACTTCACTGTAGCACCTAAACCACATTTCTTGCTGCACTCAGTTATGCTATATAGGTATCAATATCAAGACAATTGTCACTGGCCACAATGCAGGGAAAAGGGGTTTGTTTGTTTTAAATTACAACAGTGGTGGTAGCATGGATAGATGTGACTGTCTTCTGTGCTGGGATGAAGACTTTTTTTGGCAAGAACTTTCAAAGACAAAGTGGGTAATGCACTGAATGCCAGATCCAGACTGCAAAGAAGTCTTTTAAACCAAAGGAAAGTGTCCACAGTTCTCTACTGTCATGAAAAGCTTTGTTTCCACATGAGAGAGGTTAAGTAAAGGAAAAATCGGTTTATCCCCATATCCTGTGGTGACAAAAAAATTTGATTCTCTGCTGCTTATGTATGCTGTGATGCAAAAATATTTTATCATTAATTTAGTAATTCTGTCTTCCAAAGCAATAGTTCTGCTCTGTTCATTAATGCCCAGTGCTGAGCCCATGACTTTCTGTTCAGCCACAATGAAATGTGGCAGATGAAGACTGAGCAGGTTGTAGGTAAAACAGTAGTTTCTTACTCAGCTCAATGCTGATACAACTTCTTGCTCTGGTGAACATGAGGAGAGTCTGCTGTTGGGTTAAATAATCTGATGGGCAACCTCCTATGAGTTGGATTCTTGGAGAGTTATGGAGTGACAGACAATACTATGCACGCGACTTTTACAAACATCAGACTTTATAAAGAAAGAATGGAGAAAAATGGGTGAGCTTTTTGGGGCAGTAAGATCATGAGAGGTGCCAGAAGAGCGTGTTGTGTCTACACGAGAAACAGGGAAATTAGAAGTTTTTATGACCAAAGGGAAAGATATAGTGAATAAAATTTTTCCCCTCTGGTTTAGTGAGACCATACCTGGAATACTGCTTCCAGCTCTGGGGTCCCCAGCACAAGGACATTGCCCTGTTGGAGCAAGTCCCAGGGAAGGATACCAGGATTATAAGAGATGGGGAATACTTCTCACATGAGGGAAGGTTAAGAGAATTTGGATTGTTTGGCCTGGAAAAGAGAGGATTTGTGGTGACCTGTGGTCTTCCAGTACCTGAAGGGAGCCTACAAAAACGATTGAAACTTTTTACATGGGTATATAGTGACAGGACAAGGGGGAATTACTTCAAACTGAAAGCAAGTATGTTTAGATGAGATATTAGAAAGAAATTCTTTCCCCTGACAGTGGTGAGGCACTGGAATAGGTTGCTCAGACAAGGTGTGTATCAACCCTGAAAGTGTTCAAAGCCAGGTCTGATGGGGCTTGAAGCAACCTGGGATAGTGGAAGGTGTTCCTGCCCATGGCAGTGGGGTTGAAACTAGATGGTCTTTAAGGTCCCTTGCAACCTAAACCATTATATGATTTTATTGAGTTAAAGAAGGAAGGTATTTTAAAACTTGCTATCTTTTGAAAGAATCTAAGAATCAGCTCGACTTTTATTTGTATGCAAGAGAGCGAACTTATGCAAGAGAGCGAACTTGTTCCAGCCTGCTGAATAGAAATGGAAAGCCTGGACAGGAGAGCCAGATGTAGAAACCAGTTTGGGGAGCTGGGCTGCGGTGCAAGGCAGAAGCTGGCGGCTCCTGAGCACTTGCCATCTGACCCGAGGGATGCCGGGTGCCTGGGGCTGCCTGGCCCCCAGCCCGGGCTGCCGTCCCGGTCACACATCCCGGCACGGCCGCCATTCCCGGCGCGCTCGGGGCGGGCCCAGCCGCCTCCAGCAGGGGGCGCGCGGCCCCGGCCGGGGCGGCGCGCGGGGGGCGGGGCCGGGGCGAGCTGCGCGCGCGCGGCGGCCGGCGGGCGGTGAGTGGCGCGAGCGGCGCGCGCGGGGCGCGGGCGCGGCCCGGGACCGCCGTGAGGGCGGCGGGGAGCCCCCTCACCGCCCCGGCATCGCCCCTCACCGCCACGGCATCGCCCCTCACCGCCCCTTCACCGCCCCGGCATCGCCCCTCACCGCCACGGCATCGCCCCTCACCGCCCCGGCCCCGGCCGGCCCCGCTGCGCCCCGCGGGCGCTGGCGGCCGAGGCGCGGCCGGGCTGTCCGGGATGACGCCGGGCCCGCCGGCGGTTCTCTGTGGCTGCGGGGTGCCCTGGAAGCGGTACACGGGGGAGGGGACAGCGGGAAAGGGCCTCTCCGGGGCCGGCAGTGTCCCTCTCCACGTGTAGGAGGGACCGGCGATCCCGAGCCCTGCCTGTGTCTCCGTGGGATACATCCTAGTTTCCTTTTGCTTGAAGTAGCCACCAGGCCTTCTGACTTTACTTTTTTAATCCAGTGCAGTTTCTGTGTGTTTGGTAATCCTCTGCAGCTTCTCTTCAATGAACTTTCTGTGTGACTTCGACGCATTGTGAAATTCCGGCTTTTGAGGTGTTAGGGCACAAGTCCAGACATTTAGTAGCTTTCCAGTCTATCAGATCAGGACTTCTCTACCTTCAGGCAGGTGGTTGCAGCCTCTTCCAGGTGATTTTCATTACAGTTGCACACAGCTGGCCAGCTTTTCTCGGTGTGTGCCGTAAACATTGTGGATGATGAGCTGCTTTCTCAAAGACTGACTTGGGCAGCTTGGAAAAAATGCAGACAACTAGATTTCATGCTCTCTGTCTTTTGATCAAGGTTACTCTTAGAATAAGATCTTTTCTGAAGTTGCACGTGTGCTTTTTATATTCTTGGTAAAAGATCTAAAGGGCTAACACTGTCCTTCCTCCTTCCCAGTGGTGAGCAGCATGGCTTTCCAGATGTACTTCTATTCCATAGCCTTTTAGCAGTCTTCCCTGATGTTTTCTTATCACCTGTCCTCCATGTGATCATAACTACAGGTGAAATAAAGGTACTGGGGACCAAAGGCTGTTGATTTTCCCATAGTGTTTCTTTTGAGTATGTTTTCCTCTGTCTTAGAATTTGACTATATAAAAAAAGATTTTTCATACATGACTGCCAGAACCTATTGTTAAATACATACTACATTCTTGTGTGAACAAGGCCTTGGAGACTCCTGTGGTGCTCTTATCTCTCTTAATTTATTTTTTGTTTTCTTTGGAGAGCTTTCACTCTGTAGTGATGACATTTGCCTGACCAATGCCTCAGGTGATAAGAGACAGATTGAGCTGTGGACAGGGGAATGGACTAAAGTCTGCAGGGCCATCCACCCCTTCATCCTACCTGCTGCACTGCAGCTCACATGGTGGAATTTGTCGCTTCATTTTTCCTGTTTTATGGGTAGATCTGGTGGTTTAGGGACCAGTATTTATCAAATTTGCTGTTTTTCCTTATTAACACAGCCCTGCCTGTTCCTGTTCCTCTCTATCCTAGGGAGCTTACCTCCTTTTCTGGTGTTTTCCTTTAGGAGGACTTTGACTTCACAGTGAATGTTACATTTCTATGCCATACACAGTGTTCTTGAGCTGTTCTTGGATATCTGATTTCCCCCTGTGTGGTTTTCAGAGAGCGGCTGTGTGAGGAGAGAGCATGGTCTGCCCGTGGAGGGACCCCAGGCCTGGGGCAAGCAGGGATTGGTCAGCTGGAGCCTCAGGGACCTTGGGAATTAAGATTGTAAAGATTCCCTAAGTGTCAGAGGCACTGTAAGCTTCTGTGCTTCTTCCCATCATCCTGCAGAATTTTCAGGATTCCTTCTGGACTTGAGAGCAGTGAATTTTCTGAAGGGATAATGAAGGGATTTCAAACAGTAGGACTGTCTCCCTTGAAGGAATTTACAAGTCTTGTACACATAAACTCACTTTAAGGGTTTTCTGATATAGTTCTTAAGCATGAGAATGTCTTCATGTTAATAACCTGAGTCAGTATATTCATTCAGAAAAATATATTGAATTTTGGAGGCATTTGTAATAGCTGTACGTAATATTTTTACCATATGTTCTGAGTTACCTCTCCTTGCAAAACCTCACAGTTAATTACTTCTTCGTTCCTAAGGCTTTAATTAACAAACCAAAAGGAAGAGTATAAAAAAGTCAACTAAAAATTATTAATAAATAAAAGATCTCTATGGCTTTTTTATCTTCTGAAACAATGGCAAATTCTTCAGCAGCAACTTTATCTATGAGGGTTTTGATTCATAGGCATGGATTTAGACTTTGCAAATGCCAGTATGGCCTCACTGAACAGAAAATTTTAAAAATCTCAACTTTTGACTTAAAAACTGAAGCTTTCCACCTCTTTCAGTTTCTTAGAGTCAAAGCATGGTTGTGTTATTGCTTAGGGGGTAATAGCAGACCAGATTACTATATGTATCATTCAGTTAATTAAAAAAAATGCTATGACTTAAGGAGTGATTGTAAATTTCTACCTGTCCTAACAATAATTAATTGTTGTATAGGACCTAAAATAGGTCATAATATTGTGTATTGTTAGAGCACTGTGGCTAGAAATTGTGTTATCTGTCTGGACGTACAGTCATTTCTATAATAAATACTTTAAATAATACGTGATTTAATAATGTAAATATTGTCAAAGCATTTGTGTTTTGTTCAAGGAAAAAATAGGGGGAAAATTGATTTTGGTTTTACTAGGTAGCTTGACTCCGCAATTCTCTTGCGTGAGGCTGATCTTTGGGCTGTGAACAATTCTCTGTTTGGCCAACCTGGCCTGAGAAGCCAGCAAGCCAGTAAATTATACTCTGGAAAAGCCAGGTTTTGCAGATAAGAGCTTTCCTTAGGTGTGTACTATGTCAGAGGAATGGCAGAGTTATCTCCCCGTGCCAGGGTAAGGTACCATTTTTCCAGCAAGCAGGAGGAAGTTGTTTTAGGAAACTTCATCTTGAAAGGGTGGAAGGGGAGGAGACTGCCAGTTCTAGCGCTCTCCTTGTAATTCAGGGAATGAGGAGAAGAAAAACCATGAGCAGCTCCACTTGAAATGACTCAAAATGTTCACTCACCGTTCAGGTGGCCAGTGGCTCTTGGTGACTTCTGCATAATGCAGACATATCCCTGTCCCCAGGCTCTGTTAAAGGCACTGCTCGTGTGCTGGTTCTTAGGCTGGATGCAGGGAAAATGGGTTTCTTGAGAGAAGAATCTTTCTCAGTTTTCTCCAGTTCTTTTCACTGGCTAAGTCCTTTCCAGCACCTCCGTTCCATGAGGTGACACTGTTCTCTGGGAGAGGCTGCTGTGCTGCCTGGGTCAGAGGGCTCAGAGATGCTGCCTGGCAGAACCCACTTGAGGAGCTTTCTGAAAATGGCTGTACTTTTCCAATGGTACATACCGTGTCTTTTTGGAGCTTCTTGACTGCCTTTTTTTTTTTTTTTTTTTTTTTTTTTTTTTTGGCTTTTTTTTTTTTTTTTTTTTTTTTCTTGTAGATTTGTGGCATTTAGAGGAATCTTTTTATATCATGGAAGTTAAAACCAGGTGATGCTGAGCTAGAATGCTAGTTTAGAGTCAAAATTGTGTGGCTTTTGAACATGGGAGGGAATGATCAATAGCTATCATTTTTTCCAGGAAGGAAGGGAATAATTTCTATAGGATTTTCCAGATCCACAGGAAACCGAGAGCTGTAATGTCAACTTCCCTGTGAGAACACAAGCCAAATCCATGTTGTATAGAAAGGGAACAGTGTTGCTGCTCTTCCTGAATTCTCTATGGAGACTTGTTATTTCCAATTGGCCTCTCACTGATTTAAGAGTGCTTAAGTAGAAGGTGTAAGTTTTCTTTTGTTAGGAGGTTTTCCTAGTTAGCTTCATTCTTGGTGGAAGTTGATTTACATCACAAGATTATGTTGTTTTAAAAAAAACATTCACCATTGAAAAGGGTTAATTGATTTCTTTTTTCTTGTTGTCATCTAAGAAAATGGATGATGATGATGACATTCCCCAGCTTTCATCCCATACGTTGGCTGCCCTCCAGGAGTTCTATTTGGAACAGCAGCAGAGAGAGGGCATGAAGACCTCCCAAGGGTTTAATCAATATTCCATTGGCTCAATAGAAGAAAACTGGGTAAGAAACTATAAATTTCAGTGAATGAAGCACAGATAGAGGACTAGTCCTGACCAAGTTTCTTTGGTGGCTGGATAATGAAATGAAATTAAAGAGGGGAGCACTCAAGATGTTCTTATTAATGGATGGCAACACTCTAGGGAGATTTGCTTTAGTATTAAAGCTATATATAGTTGTTTGCTCCACATGTGCATGGGGGTTGCAAACTGAAAGTACATGGAGAGGGAATAAAGTTCCTAACAGAAAGCTGCTTCTGGAAATTTTAACTCCAGCCTGGCATGTAATAGTAGTAAAGACTCTTCCCTGAGTCTGAGACAAACAGTGTAACAAGAGCAAGTGATCTTTCCTTTTACATCTATTTTGTGTGTGTGTGTGTGTGTGTGTGTGTGTGTGTGTGTGTGTGTGTGTGTGTTCTATTTCTTTATTTTTGTGGATGACTGTTTTGCTGCTTGTTTTTATTTGTGACAGATTGATTTTTGATTTGTCTCTGGGTTGGGTTTTTTTGGTCTTCCTTTTTCCGATCCATTCTGATTTAGCTTTCTTATCCTTTTCTTTCTTCCCATACTGTCACTTTTCAAGGTCCTTTTTCCTCGTCTACTGAAGGAACTCAATTTAAGAGCACATAAATAATATGCATCTGCATATTAGTTCTGAAATACTTTGTCAGTGGTTTGGAGTTCTTGGTTTTCCTGATACTGCAGTTCATGCTTTGGAAACAGAGTGTAAGTTACCTGCTGCATATCACTAGATTACAGAAGTAGGAAGACTGTCAGGAAAACATTCACCTTTCCAGCTTTACAGGTTGTGAACTGAGAAGTTGCTATGGATTGTAGTTTTCTTCAGTTACGACTCACCACACGTAACTCTGCATAGCATAGCCAGGAGATTTGATGTTCTTTGTAATTGTGCATTTTCTTTCTCAGCAACTGAGCCAGTTTTGGTACAGTGATGAAACTGCATCATGCCTGGCTAAAGAAGCAGTTCTGGCAGCTGGAAAAGGTGGCAGGTAGGTTTTAATAATTGTGTTGTAGATTTAACATGTCTCCTCTTCAAATATTTTGTTTTTGCTATGTAGACAAGAATATGCAGTTTAATTCATTACTCGTTGTACTTCAGTTTTGTTCAACTGAGATACTGCAGAAGTGCTTTGATGTTATTTAGTTAATATTTTATACTGATCTTCCTGTTTATCATTTCACTGAATGTTGTAGGCTGTGCCTTGTAAAAGTTTACTGGTAATCTTTTTAATTTTTTGATAAATACAAAGTGCTTCAGAGCACATTATTGACTTGTAATTATTTTCTTAGTTTTTATATTATGTTTCTGTAGAACAGATGGAAAAAACTTGGTTTTCTTCCTACTTCTATAAACAGTAATTTTTAATTTTTTGAGTGTACTTTCTTTTCTGAAACAAGACTTTCTGTGTAGTCAAGCTTAAGATCTTTATGTAGTATGGGGTTCAACAGGTAATGACTTTCATACTTAAGACTTTGTTACTAAAGTAATTAATTGTTAGAATGGAGGAAGAATACCTTACATTTTTGGGACTAATGTTTAAAATGTTTTCCCAAAGCCTCTCTGAGGACTGCTGTAGAGTTTTGTTGCTGTTGTTTGCCTTTTAAAATTACAATTTTAAGTTATTGTGTGTTTTTTCAGGATAGCATGCATTAGTGCACCAAGTGTGTACCAGAAACTGAAAGAACAGGATGGTGAGGATTTTTCCGTGTGTATACTGGAGTATGACAGAAGGTTTTCTGTGTACGGAGAAGAGTTTATCTTCTATGATTACAACCACCCTTTGGACTTACCTGGAAATCTCCTGCCACACAGTTTTGACATTGTAATAGCAGATCCACCCTATCTGTCTGAGGAATGCCTTCAAAAGACTGCAGAGACCATCAAATACCTAACAAAAGGAAAGATTCTGCTTTGCACAGGTATAAGTAACAAAAATATTAGGTCTCCTTAAGTAGCTTTTTTGTCTCTTTCTAGTGACAAACTTACATGAGACAAATACTAACTCAATAATGCTGAATCATCATCAATTTACGGAGGATCCTAAGCTTTTTACTTGAGTACTTGAGTTCAACCTTTCTTTTAAACAGAATTGGGTGTTAATAGTTCAAGTCAGTCTCTTTTTCCTGTGGCATTATGAATTTTACTAAATTTTGAGAAATTATAATATCATCCAGCAAAATTCCAGAAATATAATTTTTCTTGTAGAAGGGCCACTCTCTGTAATTGCAATGATTGAAATCTGGGAATGGCAAACATAGGTGCAAGTTATTGTTTATGTTTTAGGCACTGAAATACAGCAGGAGGAATTAAAAAGCAGTGATAAAAGTAGAAACTAGATAATTAGATATCTGTACTTGTGGGTCCTTCTTTAGGAAAGTGCACTTGTGGTTTTGAGAAGTGATGTGTGTCTACCCAAGTCATGGCTTTTCTTAACCTGTTTTATTATTGCTGTATTGTTATCTGAAGACATCCGGGAAACCTTTCCAAAAAGCAAAGGTCAAAACCCCTCTGTATGTACAATTAGGGAGAAGGCAACCAAGCAGGCAAAATTAAGAAAAATTAAAATAATGTGGCCACAGAAAGTCTGCTCCTTGGTGTAAGTGCACATGGCAGTCAGACACGAGGGTGGTTCTCAGCAGTTTTTCCCTAGAATCAATAGGTGGTCCTCCAGTTTACTGCTCAAAGCAGTGATTTCTCAGTGTGTAGCTGCAAATATCACCCCATGGTTTATGTAAGTGAAAGAGTAGATGTAATCTGTTTGCATTTCCCACGGCTCCCTACTATTTAACTTCCTTGGAATGTAGCAAGAAGATTGAGTTCAAATTTGGTTTCTGTAAAAAGGGCACTGATATCCTATACTTATTTTTATGAAATTGCTTGGACATTAATTTCCTTGGAATGTCTTTCATTCTTCTAGATTTACTTGAAGTTTCCCAATAGATTCTGTTGTTAAGGAAGGCTGAGAGTGTATTTACTTTAAGCCTGCCTTCCTTAAAAAAAAAACAGGCTATGTATGCATTTGGGAGGAGCTATTTAAAAAGTTCAAACATTCTGTTACTGTTTCTTTAATTTATACAAATTATTTTTGCTGCAGGTGCAGTCATGGAGGAAGAGGCAGCAAAGCAACTTGGTGTGAAGATGTGCAAGTTTATTCCAAAACACTCACGAAATTTAGCCAATGAATTTCGATGCTATGTGAACTATGCTTCTGGACTGGACTGATTCTCTTAAGATCATCTACCAATCTACAGCTTTTTCAGTCAGGCTTTTTTCTGTTAACTGTCAGTTATGCCACATTTCTCAGGGCTGAAATAGTCGGCTCTGAGTACTGTTTTCTGGGATAGCTGGAATCAACATCGTGTGATAGCCTCTCTCTTAAATGAGTAAGCATTTACAATTACTGTGTTTCATGTTAGGTAAAGGCAGACCAAGCAATGCAGGCGCTGGATAATGGGAACTTCTTTGTTAGAGTTTCATTTTAACTGGTAGCTTTTACCATTTGAGGACACATCAGTGACCTCTTTGAAGTGATTTTAGCTTATAACAACACATAGGTGTTTGCCTTGCAGACATCAGAATCATCATTGCCAAAGTACTTGACACTTCTACTTCTATAGTAATGTGTCCCAAACGTGTCCCTTAAATCTTGAATCATAATGGCTCTGATTAAATATAATGCCTGCTTTTTAATAATTTCAATATCAAACTAAGGAGGATCTACAGCTATGTCAAGTTGCAAGAATGGTTATGGGCTTTTTTCCAGTTGCCTTGTTTTATCTTTTTGTCCTGTTCCACAGACAGCAGCAGAGCAGTAGAATAGAAGCATCTTAAAAATCATTGAATGTTATAAGGCCACTGAGGCATAACATATTGATAAACACCCACTGTTTCAAACAGAAACATGTTAGATTTTATATTCAAGATTTGGACTATATTTCAGTCAAAATTGATGATACAGTGGAAAAGCTTTGTTTTGCATAAGTAGAGATTTTTGATAACTGGGAATTTTAAAGCCAGTTTTGACAAACTTCTTGACTACACTGCTGAAGTATTTTTGGGTGGAAATTAGTTCATAAATTTCAAGGCACTCAACACTTTTATAATATCTAAAAACACTCTACAAAACACAAGCACTTGTCTTTGTATGTCATGCTGTGTAAAGGCTAACAGAAATGCTGCATCTACAAAACAAATTATGTAAAATCAAGTACTAAATTTATTTTGTGGTGGGAATAAGCCTAATTAAGCTTGTGATATGAGACTTTTTATAAGGCAGTGATAATACTCATGTTTCTGATGTTTAGATGCAGATTTTCCATCTGGTGGAGTAAACATCAGAGCAGGAATAATACAGATGGATTATTATTCTCTCTCAGTGCTCAGAGAATGGTGTTGTCCGAGCTGAACACAGCAGTGGTTCATAAATACCCACTCAAGCCACTGTAGCTCTCCTTCCCATTTTCCAAGAGATCTGATTGCTTCCTAAGGCTTTTCTCACCTCACATTTTATACCTGTTGCTTTCTCCCTGCCTCTAGTGTTCCTGGGTTCTTTGGGAACAGTTTTCTTCCTCTTTCACACGCCTTGGTTTCTGTCAGGCTGGTCACCGGTGTTGTTAAAACAAGGGACATGCAGCAGAGGAAGCACTCACAGGAAGAACAGGCACTGGCCTCTCCTTTCTGCTGTGTGAGCCCAGGCCCATACAGTCTTGCCTATCCAACCAGATGCCATCCTTGCTGCTGAGCCAAAATTCCCCTGAAAATGACTGTCCACAGGTGAAATACACCTGGGCTTAGTTGTTTTCTGGGAGGCTACACCATCACTTTCATGTGGCCCGTTTGAAAATAAAGCAGAACGGAATGGTAACTGCATAGCTCTTGGCACTAATCTGTACTTTAAACTGGTTTATTACTTCAGTGTCTTGCACACCAAGCAGATGGAGTCAATGAAGTAACTCATGAAACTTTGTTTTTAACTATATAGAGGCTTCAAGTGGGACAGGTAGGATTGCCAGAAGGGATGATACTATTCCCCTGCCACCCACCTAAATTAGAATGTGCTGTTCAAATCGAAGCCTCACCTGTTTTGCTGCTTTGTTTGCTTTATTTTGGTTAATGTGTATTATTGGGCTCTCCATAGCAGAGATACAAGTCAATTTTGCTAACTTCATCAGAGATACTAAAAAGATAAAAGTGCACCATTCAGTTGTACCAAGAAGTTCACTTCCAAGAAAATCACTGCTGCTTCTCACAGGTAGGTCAGACTTCTTTGAAAAGAGGCACTGTGAAGATGCATAGTTACTGAATTGAGGGTACATGAAAATCTGTGCAGTTGCACTTTGAACAGAGCAGCCCATTGTCCACCAGCTTCCCTCTTAAAAGCCTGGGGAGTGCAGGCAGCTGCCCAAGCAGCTAGACTAGTGGCATTTACAGCCTTCATCAGTTGATGGGAGGTAAACTATTTTTGTCATACTTGATTGCAAGGAAGTAGCTGTTTCTGAGAAGGGTACAAGTCACAAAAATCCATAGTGAATTTGTGTTTTGTGCCAGTGTGCGAACTTTAAGAAATAGTATGTGGTGGCAAAACCTTCTTTTCTTCTGTAACAGGACTGTGAGTAAAAATGTCAGTGTCAAGTAGTGACTGACTGTACCAGGGGTGTCTCATGGATGGACTTTGTGTTGGAACAGACTGTGGTGAAGTGTCAGCACCATGGTCCTTTTCCAGTGGCATTTGTGACTGCAGAGTCAGGTGTGCTACAGCCTCTTTAACTACCCCAGTCCAGGCAGTTATGGCTGTTCCTCGTCCCAGCGGGATTAATGGGTGTTTATACTTTCTGAGCACATCACAGCCTTTTTGCCTTTTCCTCCTGCTGCTTTCATGTTCCCCCATGCAGTTCCAGGTTCATGTGTAACTGTAGATCTTCACCTACTCAGACAGACACCTTCATGTGATGACTGGTAAGTAAACCCAAACTAGCATCTCAGGCTTCCCTCAGCCTTCCTGCATGACAGGAATTTTCCACACTACCTTAAGCGATACTACAGACAAGAAAATAATCTCATTACCAAGGATATTGTTCTGTGTTTTGTGGCTCCTAATGTATTCCAGGGACAACCTTGTTGAAGGAAAATATTTTCCTGGCTCAACAAAAAAATTTCTCAAATCAGCTGCAGCTGCCAGATAGTTCTAGCTTTGAATTGTTTGCATTTATTGGGCCTGGAGTTGGTTCAGTGAGGCATTTCATGTCTTCCTTCTGTCAACAGTTTGTGAAGCCTTGAAGCAACTCCAATGAACACTCCCTCCCCCATGCAAATTAAAGGCAAGGCTGTGGCAGCTGTAAGCAGAGGGCTGGAAGCTGGAAAATGTCACACCACATTTGAAGTGAAACTGATATAAATCCATGATGCATTGACCTCATTAAAAAAAAACAATTCCAAACAAATGCAAACTACATTTAACACTCAACCTTTCCCACATGAGTAATGTGGAGAAAGGATATATGGAAGGATACATTGAAGGCCAGCAAGTGTTTGTGTAGCTAATAGCTCTTGATGTTAAGTATTAACAAACAGTTGCTCACTAACAAAATATCAAACAGTTGCTCGTGCTAAAACATAAACAGCTTTTAAGAGACACCTAATTGAAAAACTGGATCAGGAAGCAAATTGGCTCAGCTAAAATGTCTGTCACAGGGGAAAAGGAGGATTAAGAAGAGAAAATGAGCTTCTGAATAAAATAACATAAAGATGCCTGAACCATGGGAAGCTTTCTGCACTTGTTGCAGTGTGACGAGAAGGAGGTCACCAACACAAGCGATCTATTGATCCATGGAGATTTTGCAGTTCTCAAGTACTTTCAGTCATCCAATTTCTGAAACTTTCTATAAACTAAAGCATCTCTTTTTCTGGAGTGGAGAAAATTATTATGTTCCATTTACCTGCTTTTAGGCTTGCACCTCACAGGAATTCCCTGAACATGCTCTAGTTACTTGCAAACCTAAAAATTACTCCATAATTTGTGTCTGGAGGACAAGAGAGTTGTAGTAAAAAAAAAAATTAGATTTTTTTTTCTCTCCACATGATGCAAATATATATCCATGTGCTCTAATAACAAATTTGTTGCAGACATGGTTGGACATTTTGCTGTTGTTGTTTGGGGTCATTTTATTGCCTGATAGGGTGAAGACTTTGCTTTCTATGCTGTGGAGTCTGAAGGTTCAGCTTCACACTGCCATAAGTGTACATGTGGAGGAAAACCTCGCAATCTAATGATGAAACTGGAAGGGATCAGGCTACTGAAACATCCCCTAGTGCAGTGTTTCTCCAGTTCTGTGGGTCAGCCTCTCTTTTGAGCCCCTCTGATTACCATTTCCCTCTGCTCAGAGGGTGAGAAGTTCCTCTGCATTAGGAGGAAGGAAAAGAGGTTGTAACTGCTGCAAGTATTTACATTCTCTGGGGAAAAGGTAACTACCTAAAATTGCTGGCAGCAGCCAGGCAATTAGCTGTGCTCTGAGTAGCATAAACATTTTATGACCATCTCTGGACACCTTTGAGAATCCCCTTGAGATAGAAGCATCACAATTGGAGGAAACACAGATTGAAAGACAAGGAGAATTGAGGAAAAGCATCTGCACAAAAAACAGAGCTACAAACTTCAATCTGACATTGTGATGGGAATATTGATTCATTTCTGGAGTTCTTAAAGTTATTTTAGGCTTTGTAAGAGGTTTCACAGATTGCACTGTAAAAATACTGTTATGCTAGACTGAGTCAGAGAGAGCACAATCAATAATTATGCACCAAGACATGGAGCTGTCATATGACTTACATTATGTCTTCAACTAGCTAATTGTGATTAGCTTAGTCTTTCCATTCTTCATGCAACAACACTCCAAAGAAGAGTTGTTTATGTAGAGAGGGGCTTTCTCTGCTATGAATTAAGGCAAATTTAGAGATTCATGATTTAGCAAATACATTGCTGCATATTATGTTTATTCTGTAAAGATCTTGCTGTCATGATCTTTCATCTGTAAAAGAGATTCTCTGCTGTGCATTCAGAGGTTTATCTGTTTTGGTAAGTGTGACCCTCTGAGGAATTACGTTTGTGCAAGGCATGCCTGGTCTTTCGTGATTCTCATTCACTAGGCTGAGTCAACTTCAGTCTCTTGTTCTGGAAATGCAAGTTTTTGTGTATGCAGGGTTTCTGGTGAGGGCCTGCCATCAAGTTCCATGAGCATTAGGCTGCACAAATGGAAGGCTGCCCAGTCAGCTTTTGCAGGTGATCATCTGTTACGTGTAGCATAAGGAGAAATGAGTAACAGTAATTGTAAAAAACAGTTGGATTTAACAAGTTTGGATTGGCTGGGACTCAACTCAAAGACCTCTTGTAGGATTTGGAAGTTAAGACCCAAGACCTGCTTACTCACCTGCAGCGCACCTGAGGTTAAGCTGACCCTTGGTAATTTCTTTTTAATGGGGAATCTCTTCTAAAATAAAAGGTTTTGGCCTTTCAACTGCATGGAACAGTTTTATCACAAGGAAGTTAAGCAGTCAGTGATAGATGAAATTGAATACAGAATTCTTGGGACCCAAACTGTATTTTTCCTAATTGATATTTTCTGTGTAATTAGACATAGTCCACATCAAGAAAGTCTGCTGCATTTTTACAATATTCTAGTATGTTTTTTCTCAACACCTTTGTAACCTTAGCAATTTGGCAAGCTTAAAAATAGCAAGCACACAGGCTATTGCTTCATGAATGACTCCAACTCAGCAAAGGTTTCCTTTCTGTAGTGTATAAATTAGCCAAAGAGGTAACAGCTCAGAGGCAAAGCTTGGAGTTTATGCAGTATAAAGGGACACTCTCCCAGCCTGAGAAATTGTCCTTTTAACTGCTGATTTGTCACATGTACAGCAGCTGAGTGATTTTTATATAAGGGTACTTAAAAGTAGAATATAAGATTCCTTAAAAATATCTACAACCAGTAGCCTGCTATAGTAATAGCTACCATGTCTTACAGTTGCATCATCTTCTAAAATGTACTGTGAATAAGCAAAGATAAAATGTTCTGCTCTAAGGAGAAAAAAGAGGCTACTTTGGAGTTTGCAATAATGAACTAAACAAGTTTACATGAGTGAAAGAAATAGAATTAATTGCCATCTCTAATGAACTGAGTGACTGGACTTTCCATCTTAGATCTGAAATAACTGCAAGCAGAAAAAGAGGATGACTGAGTGTGTTTGCTGCGGTGTTGCAGTTTCCTGAGGTGGTGAGATGATTATGTGAGGCCAGTACTGAAACATGACTTCCAATACATTCTTCATTCTGATGAGGGCTTGTTCTGGCCCACCAGCAGCTTCACTTCTTGCTTATCTATGCTGGAATTGACGCTCTCTGCCTCCTTTTCCTGCTCGGGGACGCAGGTGCAGCCCACGGGGATGGTGATGTAGTCCTCGGTGTAGACGTAGCGGCCCCCGGCGCAGGCGGGCGTGCGGCGCAGGATGACGGTGGGCATGAACACTGGGGTGCTGCGGAAGTGCAAGCTCTCCTCGCCAAAGATCCCCATCAGGCAGCCTTTGCACAGGCAGTAGGCTTCGGGAATGTACTTGGGGTACCTCGTGGGATCATAGGAAATTCTAGAGAGAAGCAAATAAAGATTCTTTAGTACCTCTCAAACCAGGTATATTCATCTGGAATTATATAAATGTATATATTATTATAATTATTATATCATTATAATAATTATATAATGGTTTTGTTGTCTTCACCAGGAAAAACAGCTGTAGCTGATGCTGTCTGGCTTCTAATTTGTAAAGTGTAAAGAGAAAAACGTAACAGGTTACAGAATTGATTAGGTCCTACAGTGCACATGGAAATACGAAGTGTCTGGCTTTCTGAATTGTGAGGTTCAAGGGTTTAAACAGAATGAGTCTTGCATTTTGGACTGAATAGGTAAACAGAGCATTAAAAAGGACACTTGGGCATTTCTAAACTTTTTATCTGCCTTGAGTTCTTCAAAAACAGGTACAAATCCTCGTTAACATTATTATTGTTAAAGCCATAACATGATGTTTTAAAATTTAGTAATTTTAATAGAATTGAATTGTACTATTATTTCTACAATAGGTTTTTCTCCCTAGTATATTGGGGTCATAAATGGGACTTGCCCTTGAAAGCAGAACTCTGTATTGCTTTTCTAATTAATGTCTACTGTATCTTCCTCTAAGAGCAACACTTTCGTGCTCACACTGAGATAAACTGCAACTTCCTGGGATGAGGTATCTACAGCTTCTCTGGGCAACCTGTGCCAGTGTCTTGCCACCCTCACTTCTTCATTCTTCCCAGTATCTGATCTAAACCTGCTGTCTTCCAGCTTGAAGCCATTATTCCTTGTCCTATCACTCCATACCCTTATGAAGAGTCTTCCAGCTCTCTTTTAGGCCCCATTGAAACACTGGAAGGTTCAGCCTGTCTTTATAGGAGAGGTTCTCCAACCCTTTGAGTGTTTTCATGGCCTTCTCTGGACTCACTCTAACAGGTCAATGTCCCTCTTGTGTTGTGATGCCAGAGCTGGATGCAGTCCTCCAGGTGGGATCTCTTAATAGATGTCAATGTCATCTTACATCTTAATAGATTTAAAGCAATTTCTAAATTGTGTTTCCCAGGTTGGCAGCACTTCCTTGGGTATCAAAGTGTTCACCTTTTATCTCTTCAGTATGTCTGTGAGACAAGAAGAGGTTTCAGGTTTGGAAGAGGCAGAACCCTATGTCTGCCTCAAGCTGTGACTGCAGTCACTGCTAGTCAACAAAATCTCTCCTTTTGAGAACAGGCAGCCTGGCTCTCGCTCTCACACCTATCCCTGGGTTGACACTGATGTTCTTCTGGTCACAGGATTGATGAAGGAACTCATTCAGCTAAGGGATAACTCCATCAGAAGCTGAGGTTTGGTCTGTCAGCTGTCTTGCCACACATGTACACAGAGCTCTGCACCAACCAGCCAGAGTGAACAAGTAGCTTAGGCATGGACAGAAGGGAGCTGCCCTTTTCAGAAGTATCACCAGTTTATCTAGTTAAAGGAAATCTGGAATCACAGCTTTTGCTAAACTCAAACTCAAATCAAGGAAAAGAGACTTTTAAATATACATATATATAATTTAATTATTATATATATATATAATTTAAAGAATTTGTTTTCCTCACAAAAAATCTGACCAGACATCTGTGATGTTGCAGATATTTTTTTGCAGTGCTCTTCTATCCCATTTATACTTGCTTACTTTCCCCAGGAAATACCTTTATGTTACAGGATCTCACACCAGTGTGCAATAAAATGTCTGGTAGCCAGCAGAAAGTAAGAAAGGGGAACACAGGCCTTTCTACTGTTATACATTCCTATTTCAAACTCAAGTGTGCGTAATTTCAGTGATGGATTGTTAAACACACCATGTGTCAAGTTATTGGTATTTCCTCTTACTGTATTATCTCTAGCACCTGGTATATGATGTTACTGGAAAGCATGAACATGCTCTGCATGCAAACATGAGAGGTTTCACTGATAACAGGAGAACACTGTCACTGGAATAATGGTTTACAACTACCTTTCTCCTCCAAATTCCCATGTGGAAAAAGTCAAGTATTAATGGGGTGGGTTTTTTGAAAGATGGTGTGGTTGTAGCATGGTTTTCTACTTTCCAAGGGGAAAATCTCTTATATTACTGAGTTAGATGTTAATACATCATGTGAGAACTGGAAGGAATCAGAGAGAATCCAAACTTAATGATGGATTCAAATATAAAACTGGTTTTGTATCCAGACCAGAACTTCAAGGCTGAAGCCTCTAAGTAATGCCTCCTGAAATTAATACCTGAACTCAAATATCACTAAAACTTGGAGTCATATATAAGGTTCTGCATCTTAAGCTCGAACCTGTTCAGAAAAGCCATATAAATAAAACCTTATTTGTGTCTTTCTAGGCAACCCAGACCTGCTTGTGTCAGAGCCACTAAGAAACACCAACCACCACAAGTCATGTTTTAACATCTTCTCCTAGAGAAGATGTTAAATTTTTTTATCAGATTAACTAACCAGGAAAAAAATGCATGCTCCAAGTTCCTGCTACGTCTTTCCTTACACCCAAGAGATGGACAGAGCTGGGAAGAGTGGTGGAGAACCACAGAAGTGCAACTTTCCCCTGGTACTCAAGTGTCCCCTGCAGCCTTGTGTCACTTGCTGTGGCCACTGCTGCGAACCAGGCAGCCCAGACACTTTGGTGAGGATTTCCTGTGTCCTGTGAACTCAGGTCACCGCTGTGGACAGCCAAGTCTGCCTCGCCAGCCCTGCTGTTTCACAGTGACAGGAGCAGTGAGCTGTGCTGGGCTGCTCTGTTCCCATCTGCTGGAACAAGAAGCAGGTTTGTGCTGAACTGGAACTGCTAATGAAGTGTGACTCGGCTGCTTTCCTTATGACCCTATGAGTGCTTTGAGAGCTCCCAGTGAAAAACAAACTTCCTGCCATTTACATACTGAGCCTGGAAACTCAAGAGAAAACTTTCTGTCAGAAGTAAAACACTTGCAGAGTCTTAATCTGCCTTCTCCTGTACTAGTAATTTTATAAGTAGTATTTTTAATAATATTGTCACTTCGTAATTTCCAAGCTTCTGATTCCACAGGGTCAGATTCTGTGCTGGGGCAGGGAGCTGACTCTTCAGAAAATCAGTGTTAGCATTGGGCTTACAGCTGGATGTTATCAAAAGTCTAATAAGCAGATCATCACCCCCTTCCTTCTGACTCTGAAATACTTACAGGATTAAGAGCTAACAGCTTTTTCCCCCCTTGCCAAGACTTTTGTTTCCCTATAGCAGGTGTTCTTTTGTTCATGTTATGCTTTATTTTATATACAGGCAGCAGCATAGGTATTACTACTATAGGTAGCACAGTGCTTGCACAGAAATAGCCCAGCACTAACTGATTTTCTGAAGAGTTGTACAAATGTGCTCAACTTAAAAGGATGGCAGCTCTGCATCCCCTTGTATTCTTTCCCTTGGCTGCATCTTTGGACATGCACACCATGCTACATGGTAATGTTAAAACCTGGAAAATGCCTTGGAAAAGCTTCTAGAAAATAACTGGAATATTATTTGAAGGAAAGCCCTCCTGTATGATGTTGTTCAAACACACTGCAGACAAGCTTGGCTTTTACCAGTGAAAAATGACTTGTCTGTATTACTTGTATTAAGAATTTATGTAAATGAGCCCTAAACCAAGGATGCTTATAAACTGAAACTTATTTTTGAAAAACAGAAAAAACAAGCTGGGCAATGTTTGAGAGAGGGACTGGCTAACTTGGCTAACATCATCAGAACAACACTGACAATAAAAGTTAAATCTTCTAAATTAACCATTAGTAGATGCAGGATTAGGCCCCAGAGGCAGAAACAAAAGCCACAGGATTTGGAAATTCAGAAACCTGAATGACTTCTTGACTATACATAAAGAAATTTTGCTAAACTCAAGTAGAAGTGTGTTTGCAAACTAGTTATGATTATTATTGTAGCCTTAAGACATCAAAAAATAAAACATTGAACTGGTTAAAACATATAAAACATACACTGCTGGTTAATGAATGGTGCTCTGCAGCACACTGAATGGAATCACAAATCAGCACTACCTGTAAAAGTGTTGCTGACTTCAGCGGGATCAGATTTTTCAACGCTTGCTCTGAGCTTTATGATCAGACCCCCACAAATGTTTAGGCAGACATTTAAAATTAATCCTTTTTACAATGGTTCTTGTCCATGAGCAATTTTTCTGTGCATCTCTGGAGCTGTGCTTGCCCTGCTAATGATTCACTATGATTGGTGAATGGCTTCTGTAAATGTTAACAAGAGCACCCATCCTGTGCCATCAGTAGAATCTGCAGGTCCACCCATATCATTAATTCTTGGTAAGCAACTCTGAACCATAGCAGTAGCCAAGTGCTACTTGCACTTGCCAGAATGTCCTTGTACAAGCAGGGTTTCTGGATTTCATTGACTATCCATGTAATAGTGCTAAAAACAACAAGCAACCCCGGATAGATGTTGCAAGCTGGCACACAGTCAGCCTGATGAATTCATGGAAGGATGATTTCATGGCAGAATTCCTTCTGCTGGCTCTATTTTTTAAAAAAAGCTGAGTAATTTGTAGCCCAACTTCCTGAACTGCTGAGCAAATCCAGCATGCTCAACTGACTTCAGGGAACTCTGCTGTCTCTTTATAGCTCTGCAGAGCAAAGAGTGATTCGCATGATTAAACTCTGTGCCCTGAGTTATATACTGATCTCCTGTGGCCACCAGGATGGAATTTCAGTATCAGACACATGAACAACTAATTTCCCCCTAACTTTTGCCTTAAATACCACTGGTTGGTTGCTGCTAGCAGCAGGGCTTGGAACCAGATGTATCTGAGGTGCAATCCATGTACAACTCCTGTATCTCTGGTTTGCAGGAAACCAAAAGTGATGTAAGTCTTGATTTTTGTATAACAAAATTAAAAGACTGAGTAATGGAAAATAAACAGTAAGCACAGAACAAAGACAAGCAAAGAAGCCACACAAGGATTATCTGAGATTTGAGCCAGTCAAACCTAATTCTTCCACACTTAAACAGAATGATAGGCTTGGCATACACATGATGTAGTAGAGTCAACATTATACACAGTTCTCTAAGTAATATATTTGATGCTTTCTTATAAATGCTGATATGAAAAAAATCCAGTTGACTTGGACTGAACAGTCATGTGAACAGAAGAATTACAAGCAGCAGCATTAAACAGCTGGGAGCAGGTGCCTGGGGAGATATTCAGGGGAAGGTAAGTAGATCCAGACTTAATATCTTTATTATTAATGACCTGGAATAGGGAGTATAAACAGTATGTTAATGAAATCTGCAGATGGTAACAATGGGAAATGTGCAACGCCAATGAAGACAGAGAAACAGCATGAGGTATCTCAGGCATTAAAATGCATGTCAAAAAGAAAAAAGAGCCTTTATGCACAGAGCACAAATGAATGGCACTGTAAGTATTTAGGTGCAGAAAGAAGCCAGAGAGCAGGATGTCTGTGAGACGCTGGAACTGGACAGGCACCTTGATGCAAATGTCAAGTAGTCAAATTCAGCCTTTGAGCAGTTTCCTATCAGGGCATACAAGAGGGGTTTGCCAATAGTGAATTTATTTATGAGCATTCACCAACTTCTGTGATTCAGAAGGCAGCTCAGGAGATAGCAATGAATCTGTGAAGGGGAGCAATTTACAAGGGAAAATAATTAAATGCAGGTAGGCTTGTCAGGAAAGTACTGTACAGAAGAGAGCCGTGTGCAGCTTTTCAGATTAACACTCCAGCCATGGAGAAGAAATTGTTGGGATAAGTGAAATCGGTTAACCATTGACAAAACATAATGGGACATTACTTGTGGTCTTTAATGGAGAGCTGTGTGTACCTCTCAAAAATATGGAGTAACTCTAATGGGATTAAGGAGCTTCCAGGGTACTCTGTTGAAGACCACAGAACAAAACAAATTTTCACATCTAGCTTCAAAATCTATGAGATAGCAGGTGGTAATAGCTAATTAGCAATCTTATATTTTACACTTTAATTACACATCTTGAGATGTCTATTGCTGTCTCATTGCACAGTAATGATATAGTAAAAATGCAGCCACAAAAAAAGCTGTAATTGAGGTCTGTTAACTAGACAGATTCTCAGGCCTCTTTATCATAAAGAAACAATTTTTCCTCTGAATATTTTAGATTTTGCTTTTAATGGTGTAATACTTCTTTCCCACTATCTTTTACAATTCCTAGCTTGGAGATGTCATCAAGTTACTTGTATGTGAATGGTTAGTGGTCTGTCTGAAAACACTTTGATGAAAAGTACAGTGGATTTACTTTTGTAAGCCAAGCCCCAAGAAGCAGCTGGTTCTCCGTTAAAAAGTCAGTCTATACAGAGCTCCAACTGAAAATAAATATCTGTCCAACGAGATGTAAGGATGAAGGTACTGTTTTCAAACCAAAGGAACATTTTTCTGATAGCACTAGTATTTTGCAAAACCACTGTAAGAAATACCTGAGCCAAATGGTAGGTGTTTCGCTCATGGTATTTGCTTTGTGCACTCTTAGGTAGCTTAAAAATCCTCAGTCTTCTTAGAGAAAATGTATTCCTAAAAATACTTTGCTTATGAAAGGCTTACTGAGCAAATAAACCATCTTTCTCTCAGTAGGATTACTTCTTACACTAAAAGCGAGCAAAACCCAGGCCATAAAATAAATATTTATTGGAGAGCCTAACAAGGAGATAACTGTTTGCTGAATACACAGGAACTGCATCAAAGTATATACCAGGGATAATGTATAAAAAGTAGCAAGAAAGTCAGTTCCTTTTAAGTTTGCACGTTTTAGCTTCCTGTTGCTTGCAGTCCTTTATAGAAAGCTGTAAACAGAACTTGGTCTTATTCAAACCATCAGAAGACTTCATAATCTTCTGAGAATGTGATCACACACTGGGTTTAGTGTGCTAGATCAGTGGTTTCCAAGCTTTTCCAGAGCTTCCTATGGAAGTGCAGGCCCTTTTTTCATGTATTAACCAGCCTCACAACAAATCTACTTTACTTCGTTGTTTTTATGCGCCCTAAAAATAGTCTGTCAGACCTAGTTTCCACCTCAGGGGAAGGAGGTTTGCAAAGCACAGGTTGAAAATACAGGTGTAGAATATTGCTGTATTCATTCTTTGCCTACTTCCCTACAGCAAAGGGGATGTCCAGCCCTTGGGAGTGTTTGGTAGGTGAAGATATGCCTCTGTTGGTGGGTGACCGGAACACAGACTGTACCCTGATGTATTTTAGAAACAGCGTCGTGTCTGGAGTCACATTTTGGGGAAAGCATCTGAGCCCCTCTGTGGCTGCTGCAGAGTCAAGAGTTCTTTGGTGGTGGTCCTTTTCTGAGGATCCTCTTACTGTCACATATGACAATTTGCCCCGGTGACTTTTTGAAGGTGGTCTGTGCTCCCGCGTGGGTGTGGATGTGGGTGTGAGCTCCATCTCACGGGTTGCTCCACCTCAATCATTTCACTTTTTGCCCACTAGACATATTCCTCACACGAGCTGTTTTTACATAATTACCTCATATCGCCTACTTAGACTGTGTTTTAGCACTTTTCCTGGCTGCTGCCCGGTGCCGCGGCCGCCCCTCGCCTCCCTCGCTGCCCCGGGCACGGCGCGGCGGAGCTCGGCGCTGCCGGTCCCGCACGGAGACGCCGCCTGGGCTCCCTTCAGCCCGCCGAGCCCCCAGCGGCGGCCGCACCTCCCTTCCCCCGGCGCCCGGAGTCACCTGTATGCCCAGGGCGATGCGCTGCGCAGGTTGACGGGGAGCCGGACCCTCTTGTCCGCGGGCGGCCGTGCCCCGGCGGGGCAGCTGGCGTTGTGCTGGCGGCCCGGCGGCTCGGGCTGCAGGGTGTGGTGGAAGGCGCTGAGCATGCCCGCCGCCAGCCGCCCGTACAGCTGCTCCAGCAGCTCCTCGGGCCGCTCGCCGCAGCTCCGGGTCCGCGCCGGCCGCTGCTTGGGCGCCCTGGCGGCCTCCGGGCGGAGCGGGAGCAGCGCCGCGCAGAGCAGCGCCGCCAGCGCCGCCCGCACCTGCAACGACGGCGCCGTCAGCGGGGATGGGGACACCGGGGACACCGCGCCCGCCACCGCCCGCGCCCCGCAGCCCCTTACCCTGCCTCGCTGCATGGCGCCCGGGCTGCTTCTCCTCCAGGGAGCCGGGGAGAGCGGCGGGCTGCGGCGCCGCGCCGTGCCACTGGCTCTCCCGGCGGAGGAGCTGTTGGAAAAGTGCCCCGCGCCTCGCTGCATCTCCCCTGGCCTCGCCTGCCAGGAACATGTTCGGCGGCGCTCACGGCGGCGGCGAGCGCTCGGCGCCGGGCGCGGGCCGGCCCCGCATCCCAGCGCTGCCCGCGGCCCCGGGGACGGCCCGTGGGCACAGGCGGGCACGGACGGATCCGGGCCCCGGCCCCGGCCCCGCCGCCGGCCCGGCGCTCCCCGCGAGCCCGGGGTGCCGTCGGGAGTCCCGCTCTCCCTTCCACCGCACCGGCGGCGCGGGCAGGAGCCGGGCTGTCCCCGTGCCCGCCGGGACACTCGGCATCCAGCGGCACCCTCTGGCCCAGAGCTCGGGACTGAGGCAGAGCCAGGGCGATGTGGCCCAGTCGGAGCCAAAGCGTCAAGGCTGCTGTGGAAAATGTGGGGATTGACACCTGGGGAAGGGACTGCTCTAGCCCGGACTCTCCCAGTCACTTTAGGGCAATCGGCACTGTCCCTCAGAGGATTCTGGGATTTCTGACTTGCCCGATTCCGGGAAGCGCCTCTGGCACGTTTCTCCATCCCAGCTGTGTCCTTTCTCCAGCAGGCACCGAGGTGGTTGATGTCCTGCATGAAGACTGGGGCTGCCACCGTGAGGCCTGATCCTCCCGTTCCTCCTGCCGAGCAGCCTGGAGCAGACACCAGGGCAGGGTCACTTTGCTGGCTGCAAGAGAAGCCGCCTCAGAAGAAGAGAAATCTGCACTGTACGTACTTTAAGGAGGTTGAGGTGAGTCTCGCCTTCAATGGCTTCTCCATCTATTCCGTAAATGGAGACACACATGACACAATGTAATCATGGTCTCTGGGTCTCTGACACAATTCATCGCTTGAATCAAGTATTTCATGTGCTCTGATTAAGTTCTGCACATCTATTGAGGCATTTAGGGTAAGGATATTTAAATATAAAAATACTGGTTAGGAATAAGGGAAAATGGGATCCTAAGTCATACAAAGACTGAGAAACTCCAATTTGGTACCATGGAAATATAAGACATCAACTTCACCAAACAGGCTGGAGTAGAAAGAGAATGGTCTGGCATTCATAAATGCAATGAAGTGACTTGATTTTGTGGTTTCTGAAAAGTCATACAGTTAAATCTAACTATGATTTTTAGTTATTTTGGTGCCCTCTGCATCACATATCACTATCACTTATTAGCAGTATCTTGACCTTTAACTGTGTAGGATTTGGATCAGATTTCAGCTCTGAGGAAGGACAGTTTTAACTAGAATTCCAAACTCTCCTTTGCAGTTATATCCTCAGGCGAAAGACTGGGACAAGGTGTGTGTCCATTTAGCCCAGTCCAGTCCAACCCCTGACAATGCATCTGGCCTTATGTTACTTCACCACTTCAGGGTGGCATGTGTGGCAACATGGCAAATATTTATCACCATAGGTCTTTTTATATTACTCTTCCTAAGACCAATCAGCATCTTCAGAAATTTCAGATTTCTGAGTAGCATAAGGATGTCACACTTGGCTTTGCAAAATGTGAGTTTTATGTATTTCCTTTGTATGCATCAACATTTCTGGGAGAGGCCTGCCTCAAAAAATCAGAGCAGATGAAAACAAAAAAAATGGCACAGGCATTAAATTGCCATTGAATTTAAGGCTTTGTGTCTTATCTAGGCAACTTTCTAATTCTGTATGATAGTTGCATTGTATTGGCTCATGAAAAATCACATTGATTCAAATAATAAAAAGCATAGTAGGTCAGCAAATGAGATTCCACTACAGAGGAACTAAGAGTGCTATACCACTTCTTGTGGCATGGTCTACCCTAGAGATATCTGAATCATAAAATATTCCCTAATATACTTTGGCAACTTGGGTTCTTCCATGACTTTAAGAAATTACTAACTAGTGTCTTTTTCATTGGTGTTAGTTTATAATTTTTTTAGAATTAGAGGGGGATTTAAAATATCTATGCCAATTAAATATTGAAAAAAATATTTAGTAATATTAAATCTGTCCTAAATGTGTGTGATGTAATACAGGATATTTCAATCAATGGATTCAGAACAACATCTTTCACTTTTCTGTAATATTCTAAATGTTCTTTCTGGAGATTGTCATTCAATATTATATTTAGGAGTGGTATCTACCTCCTGAGATTATCACCATAGTGATCAGTGTCAGATATTAAGTTCAGTTCCATAAATTCCTTCTACGAGAAAGTCAGAATGTTCCAAAGAAAACTAAGCTCAGCAAGAATAAGACAGACATTTTTAGTGAGTTCCTTTAAATAAGAAGAAACATTTTCTGCACCTGATTTCACCAGAGAGCCATGTTAAACACTGAAACATGTTTAATAAAGGACACACTAGGTTTGTGTCTTCAGCCTTACATTGTTACCAATAGCGGGAGAAAAATGTGTCATAGCAGGAGAAAAAAACCCTTTTCAAATAGGTTATCATCAGACCATTATCATAATTTGGACAATTGTTTCAGAATCATTGGAATGGTGGTGAAAGCCTGATAGTAAATGTCAGAATGTAGCCCTTGCCATAGACGTTAATCCCCAAGGAGCAGCATTTTCAGGACTTTTTCTGGTTGGGGTTGTTGTCTTCCATAGCTGCTCTGCCACATGACAGCTGGTTTCAGATACTATGCTTCACACATGAATAAATCACATTATTGTGACAAACATTATTAATGATACCACAGTAATATGCTTATTACAAAAATGGCAGAATTGCCCTATACTGGCATATTCCAACTGCTTATTCCCATCCTGTTACAGCATTAATGAGATCCTGTCTCTATCTGAAATGACGATGTGAAAAAAGTTTTAAAAATCATCATACAGACCTTCAAGTTGAACAACTCAAGTTGTTGGGTGGAACAAAACATTCAGCTGGCATCTGCAGCAGGTATAACTCTTCAGAGAGAGAATTAAATTACTCCCAGAAGATGTCCTTCTGCCTCACATCCTGTTTGCAGATAACCTGTCACTGAAACTCTTCTGTTCCCATTCATCTTCCCCACAGTTGTAATACCACTTTGCAGTGTCCATGGCATGGTATCTTCTGCAGCAGCATCTCAGCATATTTTACAGTTTCTAGGCAATTTAACTTTGCAAAAGTGAATTCTTGAGAAGTGCAGACTCTTCCAAAGACTTCATTTTGACAAGGGGGAAACTGAGGAGCAAACAGGTTAAAAATAGCCTTTTTACAATAAAGTTGATCATCTATGTCCTTGACATCAATAATAAACAAAACATAGCAAATTAGACTAATTTCTTATGATTTCACACTGCTCTTGTAAAGGAACCAAGAGAAATAGTCCGTTATAATAAAATTTTATCATAAAACTATTTACTGGCAATTTTGGATGCCCCATCCCTGGACGTGTTCAAGGCCAGTTTGGATGGGGCTTGAAGCAACCTGGTCTAGTGGAAGGTGTCCCTGCCCACAACAGGGGGGTTGGAACTGGATGATCATTTAGGTCTCTTCCAACCCAAACTATTCCATGATTCTATGAACTATATCTTTGTACAAATTTCAATTCCTATTTAACTCTGGAATAGCTTTGTTTTGAAGTAAGCAGTCATGTAATCTGACAAAGGATGTTCAGAGAAAAACATGAAATATGTGATTAAGACTGTTTTGATGTAGAGCTAGGCATGTTCAGAAATAATGCTACTCAAATAGTCATTTATATTTGGCTACTGTACAAAGAGATGTTTTTCATACATGTAAAGAGAAAGGTAACTTGGTATGTAAAGTTCCTATCCTGAGGAAGATCTCAAATCTAAGAGGTCAACTGAGGATTATTTAATATTGTATAATAGATCTTTTCATGACAATAGAAACTAAAATACCTCATGAGTCAGTTTCTCGAGGGGGTGAGCATTTACCTAGGTTTAATGTTGCTTCTCTTCTAACATAAAATAATAAATTAATATAATAGCAGGAATCTTAAATGATTAATCGACTCATTCCAGAATGATAATCACAAGATGGGGGTTTAAATGCTGCTGGAAGCATGTACCTGCAGAGATGTAGTCTGTTTTGTACAACCAAGCCTGAAAAAAAATTTCTGCTTGAATTTCGTGGATGAAAATAGTTATTTAGCTCATTCAGGGTTCCACTCCTGTGGTTACTAAGCCCTACTGCAGGACCAAGGACATCCTACACGGCAGCAGGGAACACAACTCACTGCACCCGAACTAAATGCCAACCAAGGACAGGGTCAAGGACATTGTATCAACATAGCACAGTAATCCCATATAACCCAGGTAATTATTTGAAACAAGCACTCCACTGGCCACATTTCCTTGGAGAGCTAAGCTGCCTGAATCACACAGGTGTGCTCACCCGTGTGACAGCCTGAGGCATTCCAACATGGTGACTCAGCACTTTGGAGATGTGCATGTAGCTTCTTTCTCAACAGATTCCAGTTGTAATAATCTCCATCAGGGATCACTCTTTGGCCTTGAGTCCAGTCCTTGAGTCTTGTGTTCCCTCATACAGAACATCTTACACCAAAGAAGAAGGATGATGCGCTGAAGCTGCTTCCAAAGAATGGCTTCTGGCCCAGGCTTACCTTAGGATCATGGAAGGCAATTGTCTGGGAGATGAATTGTCATGGCCCAAAACTGTGCTCCTGTGCACTGCTGTGCTACTGGTCTTACAGAACAGCTGGGTACACATCCCCTCCTCTGCTCTGGGCTGGCCCTGGCAACGTTGCAGTCCTAGTAGATATGCAGCTGTAATGAACATGGCTTTGAAGTGGATAAACCTGGGCCTACATCATTTTGATTATCAGCAGGACTCATTATTCCAGTGTTGGAGCTGGATCATATGGCTTTCTGTCAGTTCATAACAAGCTCCACTGTGCTTGCAAAAGATCATGCAAATTCATCATAACCCAAAGCATTATATAATCAGATCCTCATGCTATAGGAAACAGCATGTTCCAGAAGTCCCTGGGAGTCTGTACATAGGGAACATGTTCCAGAATTGCCTGTGAGTTTGTGCAGGGCTGGAACAAA